CCGGACCCGGGGGGGGGGGGGAATGAGTCAAGCAAGGAATCCAGTTCGGCCCAGTGATGAAAGTACACAACGTATCTGTGTTATCTTCCCCATACATTTGTTGACCCCGACAGATACTCAACGTCAAACACACGCCGAAAAGTGAAGACTTGCAATAGATGGGACCAAAAAACATCAAGATACTCACACCAGCATGTTCCTTTGCAAATGACGATCCTGATCTTTGCCCCCGACTGATCACGCGTGTACTTCCGCTCCCCTCCCCTTCCCTCCTCCCTTGGTGCAGTCGGCGCTCTTTAGCATGCCCGACCTCCTCACGGTCATTTTGCTGTTGATTTGCGTCTGCACGTACGTCAGGGGGTACCGAAAGGGAATATTTGATGTCGAGGATGGTTCACACAGTGGCCTGCGAGGTGAGATGCTCTTATACAACACCAATGTCCCCTTCCACGCGCACGACCAGCGTTGTGTTGCACCAAGGCCTATTCTCGCAGGCAGCACACAGTGTGCTTCGCTGCTGCACCAGCTCAGTGTCGGCTTAGCCGGTACCATGCATGCATCCGGGACTTTGTGTTTCCGTGTTTTGTCGGCAATAGCAATCCGCTGCAAGCGCCTGCTGCTGGTCGGGGCTGACGCAGCAGTTGGCCGTAAGAGGGCCTCGTTGTGCTCTGCAAAGAGGTTGTCAAATGCTTCATTATTCCAGTCGTGGTCCTACCATCATGATGCACATGATTCACCATACTTCATTCGTGCCAGACAAATGTTTGGCCACTGCTCTCCGGAGCGCATGACATAACACGTGCGACCACGTGACATGCCACGGCCTTGATCGACCAACCCCTCGCCCTTCCCCATCAATTGTACCATATGGTGTACCCCTGCTATTGCTGTTGCGGGGTTGATCTGATGGGACACACGTATGTGGTATTGATTGAGGATTCAAGAATCATATCATGAAGTAGGTTCGTGTGGTTACTGGGACACCGCCGTCGTCGATTTTTGGTACGAATACGGTACAGCACCCTGCTTACACGGTGACGCGCCACACGGCATGATGCTGGGGAAATAGCCGTGGCTTGTGCAGGAACTTTCCCAGCAGTGTCCAGAGGTAGGTTCAGTATTACACACGTGCCCAGCGAGACTGGAATTTCATGCTTTGAAGCACCCAATCGTGCTATTAATACCGTCCGCTGATATGTCTCACGCTTCCATGAAACGGCTCTACAATAGGAGCTACGCAGACGGGTGAAGCACTGTACTTGCGGGTATATTTGACTATATTTGCGCGGTAGTTTGCACCGTAGGTTTCACCCTCGTTCCTTGTGCCGGTCGCTCCTCCTTCTTTCAATGGCGACCGCAGGGTTGTGCTGGAAAGCGGCCCGGGTGGGAGAGCGATTAAGTCCTTATGTCAGCGCGGCGCTGCTGGTCATGGCGGGACGTGTCCTCATGGACAGCTGATGCTGCAACTCGACCGCAGCTGAAGAGAGACGCACGCGCGTGGAGCAGGAACATGTATCGTCTGTTGTGTATGTATCAGGCTCCAATAGCACAATGAAACAGGTCTGTTGCAAGTTTGATGAAGATTTCCAGTGGCGCGACTGTACCCGCGAGGCAGTGCGTGTGCAGCAGCAGAGCAGCCGTAAACGAGTAGGAGGGCGAGAGAACAAGGAAATAAGCTGTGTGTGTCAATGTCGAGTGGTGAATCGAATAACTTCTAGGGGTTGCGTGGCGGTGCAGTCATCAGTGGGCTCTCCCGAAGAAGCTGGGCAGCAGCTCTTGCGCTTGTCTCTTTGTCGATGTTGAATGCCAGGGATGGGTCGTTTTCGTGTTGATTGCGAGCTAGCTCCTCAAAGCGAGCGGGAGTAGAATGATTCATTCTGGACCAGACGCTAGTCTATCGGCAGACAGAGTTTTTTTTTTTTTGTAGTCAAGACAGTCAAGGAGTAAGATAAAAGGTGAAGTCAACAGGTTTGTCCATGCTTTTGCGTCCTTCGGGATAGCTTGCCACAACATGGTTGCCAACTGTCATCATTCCCCAACTAAAATCGGTCGAGGTGGAGAGGTTCCCCATACCCCGCTCGGCCTTGGGCAAAGGGACGGCGTTTGGGGGTCGAGGTTTAGACTAGGCCTAATGAAGGAAGGAAGGGAACGAAGGAAACCAATGCAGCATGCTTCCGCTGTCACTACAACAGCAGGGATGCACGAACGTGAAGGTGAAGGCGGATGGAGAAGATCGTTGTGCTGTCGATCTGGCGGTCTGATCGGCGCCATGAGGTACGGTCACAGCACTCCACATCAGCTGCAGCATGTACCTGCTACATAAAGTGTCCAGGCACGCACTCTGTCAGACGCAAAGCATTTCGAGTGTCGATGGAGCTCACACGCAGTAGCATGATGAGTAGTCTCATCATAAAGGTTGTGTGCAGCCGAGTTCTACGGAGTAGTACTACAATACAAACGACGTCTCAACTACCACGTTCCAAGCATTGATACGTATAGAAATTAGGCAAAGGTATACAGTATACAGAAAATGCAATCACAGAAGGATACAATCGAACGTGAGGAGTACAGAGTCGATCAAATGGCTCGAATCCATCGTGAAACCGTCGAGAGAGAGAAATGCAGACGTGAACCAAAATTCTGGCTGGAAACCCAGGGGGAGATATCGCATATCCCCTCTGATTCGTTCGGCTGATTCGCCCGCCCGACGACTTGTTCAGCATCATTGAGCTGCATCAGTGGCGAAAGTTGATGCTCCCTACAAGAACAGCCTAGATATCCGAGGGAAGATTAACTTGAGGGTGCCGGGCATTGCCGTCGGTGGTGTTGATCGAGGCTGACGTACGCTAGGAGTTTTACTGAAGCAGCGGACGAGGCCGGTGTCGACGAGCAGCGTAGCTGCTGGTAGCACCAGGCAGGCAGGGAGGCAGGGAGGAGGAGCAATCGTTGTTGCCCGAGATGCGCAAACGGCATAGATCACGAACATGCGGCGTGCTCGCCTGTCTCCTGCTCTTGGGGCCCGCGAGAGCCACCTCGTCGTCGCGCTATCGTCGAGCAGGCGCCCCGACCACGCCTGCGGCCGGTTTCGTAGTCACGGTGCCGTCTGGAAGCAGTGCTGCTGCTGCTACGAGATCACGATCACAGCAGCAGCCGTCGTTGCGGGATGTTGACGGTTGGAGTAGGAGGAGAACCTCCGCGCGCTTGCCGCGGGGGGTGACGGCGATGACGGTGACCACAGAGCTGCAAGGGGAGACGCCCGCTCAACAAAGCAGGTGAGAAACGAATCAGGCATGGGTTAGCTGCTTTTTCTGACTGAGGAGGTCCCGAGCACTATCGACGAAAGAATAGACATATCGCCGAGCTTGGCTGATGCCAGGCCTTATGCGTCATGCTGTCATCCTCTTCTGCAATCACCCGAGAGTTCTGAGCAGGATGGTTGTGCTGCTTGAGTGTAATGGGCTAGCAGGGAAAGGTAATGAAGAATTTTTTCTGCCTTCCAGTGCCACCTTCAACGCACGCCACGGTGGAGTCTTCTCCGTGAAGGCCCAATTGTAGACAGCGTGCACGATCTACAGCGTACATGTCCATGCTGCTTGATTGCATGGCGTTGTACATGAAGATGTTTCCCTTCAAGGACAAGTTCAACGTTGGCAAGTAGTTGTAAATCGCGTCAAGCAATGCAGCAGCTTTGAAGCTGCGGTAGTCCCCACCAAGGGTGGCTGCTGCAGACACCCATAAGAACAATCTTCATACGCATATCAAACGTCCAGCTGCCAAATGGTGCTCGTGCTGGTAGGCTATTTATGGCACCCTGTCTCAAATGCGCTTGAGGGTATGCCTGTCAGTGCCATGCCGTAAGTGTACCAAAATTGGTTCCCTCGTACAGTAGGCAAGGGCAAGGACGGTTGTGTTGGGCTTGGCGATTGGAGCAGCGCGAGTGTGACACCAGTGCGAATGAATCCGTTGCAAAGACCGCGGAAATCAATTTGGAAGCATTTGGTACACTTCCGTATGGCACTGACAAGCACACCCTCAAGCGCATTTGAGACAGGCTGCCACTGAATAGCCGACCTGCACGAGCACCATTTTGCAGCTGGAATGGGAG